TGAAAAACCTATTTTGATGAAAAATTATTTTAATAGAAAGATTTTATGAATTTAAAACGAGAGCAGCAACTAATTATTCGGTCAACGAATTCCGAATGTTTCCTTATAAGGAAACGGCTGATATTACCATTTTCCAATTCTAATGCGACTTTGAATTTCCATATTATTTTAAATTAACACATCACATCAATTAAAATAATTAAGATAATTATCACATCAATTAAAACACATCCCATATTTTTTTTATTTTAATCATTTCATTCCAAGTAAAGCAATAAGGTCGAAAGAAACAAGTGGTTACTGAGGGTGAAAGAATAAGAAAAATGAAAACATTATTAATGAGCTAGAAATATAAAAGAAGAGCAACCAAAAAGACAGTAGCCTTTAAACTTTTGAGGATGAAAGTTGGCTGGAAAGCAAAAAGCCGGAAGAGAGTTCTACAGGTGGGAAGTGCGAGAAAAGAAACTGTTATTATAGAGCATAAAGTTGCAACTAGACAAATCAACAGTAAAATAAACCTCGACATCAATCTAGTACTACGCTTAAATTCATAAAATTTGGGTCCCATAACGGAAAGTTCATCAGAACAATTATCATGACAGTATTTGTAGAAAAGGCACAGGGTAGCTACATGACGACGGTGGGAACTGAATGATGCCGAGATGCCAGGTTAGGACCAATAACATTGCAGAATCTTCTTTGGATTTTATCAAGTATCTCTAAATATATCACAGGGGCACTGGATCATATGTGGCAGCAATATTCAAAACATGGACAAATGATAGACTTATAAATATGTAGCATAGACATACCCTTGTGCAAATTAATTGAAACAAAACCAATAATTCCGTTATTATTTACTTTTTTTTCGTATTTTACCAATGAAATATGACCCAGTGCACATTTTAGTACTTCTTATATATATATATATATATATATATATATATATATATATATATATATATATATACTGGATTTCTCTGTATCCTTGGAAACAAAAAATTATGAATTGTATGTGCATTGAATACTCAGTAAATTTAAAAATAAATTATTCCAAAATTCGCTTGAAGATGAAACAGAACTAATTCTTTTAATTTAATTATATAATTAAATTTGAGGATTTTGGCTACGGTTTTTGAAACATGGTAATTCCTGTGTAGCGTAGAAACCATATTTTAAATCAGTCAATTTATAATATTTATACTCTGTAAATTTACATTGAGCAATGTTTTGTAAAAATAAAATATCAATAAGAACACCGGATTATATATCATATTGTTTCTTTCTTTATTTATATATATATATATATATATATATATATATATATATATATATATATTTCCATTTTCTCCAAAACGTCGTCGTTGCTCGCATGTTCGAAAACAAAAAGGGATGTCAACTGAAACGTGTGTATTCAATAAATATAACATTTATTTTAGTAATAAGAAGTTTCAGATTATGAATAAAATTCCTTTATTCTTTAACAATTGCTTAGAAATTACATTTTTAATAGGGAATTAAAGTTAGTAGATATGGATTTCTAGGGATCAAAAACGAGAGATTTCCATTGAGATAAGTCCGCACAGTTAACTTAGCTTTTACACATTTTGCTAAAATTTGAGATAATTTAAGCGAGAATTAACAATGTTATATGACTACAAGATAATATCAATTTAGGTAACATCCAGTATATACCGGGTGTAACATTATCATTCTCCAATTGTTAGATTAAACTTTGCGTCTTAGAAATGCTTAAATATATCTTACTGGAATTCTCTGAGGTTTTTATAACACTACTGGACTCGACTTTGAGCAGTAAGAATGTATAATTACTCTTCAAGCTTAACAGAAGAATTGTGATGAAATCGATCATAAACTAAAATGACATCGGAAGCTCATCGGAAGGATTGAAATAAAGTTCAATTATATATATATATATATATATATATATATATATATATATATTTTGGTTGGATTGATGTGAGTTAATTTATAATATTTACATTGAGCAATGTTTTGTAAACTCACATCAATCCAACCAAATATGTTAGCTCTATCTCTGATATTGAGCGCTTTCTAATAAGTACCGCGCATGTAATATATAAATAATTTTATATATATATATATATATATATATATATATATATATATATATACAGAAAGCCTGTTTCGCTGTATCACAGCTCATCAGTGTGGCTAGACATCCGAATGTGGTATTTTGGTGCAAGGAATATTGTATAGTTTGTTTGGGTCAGTGATTGTGGCGAGCTAACGTTTTAATATAAGACTAGCTTCCACTTGCCCACTTTAGGACTTGTGCCACATTTTTTGTTTTATACAAAAATAAATATTATCGTATGACAATTGCGGTTAGCATGAAACAGACTGTAGCATTTGGGTGTTGATACCAATGTCCACTTTTATATTTACATATCCTCCATCCCCTATATTGAGCGCGTTAACCCATAAATATAGCACACCTTACAATTAACTATATTTTATCATATATATATATATATATATATATATATATATATATAAAGAAGGAGAAGTAGATTTATAGTCCATTTGTTCTTTAGCATTTATTTTAAAAACAGTGCTCGATACACAGTAGAGCATAATATTATGATTATGGAAACTGTTATTTCAATTCTTTGATAAACAGTTTTTTGTAGACATCATATTATGTTTTCTTTAAAAAATAATTAATTATAAAAAAAATGCATAATTATATATCTATCATTTGATCAAAAATAAGAAATTAAGAAAATGCGTAATTAAATTCTAATATTTTAATTTCACAATACTGTATACAGTTTATTAATAAATATGATGAACCTAGTATTTTAGATATTAACATAATTGTCGAACTTTGTCTATTTCATAATGTGTGACGTCATTTGTTTACATTTGGATACGTATCGAGCAGATATGAATGTACGTGAGAGAATGATGGAGAATTGTAGTTTAAAAACAGTAAAATCGACCTTCCTAACCGAACGCTCCTCTGTGGCGAAATCGGTAAAAGCACGTCAATGTTCGGCTATACATTTAGCCATTTTCAAGGATTAAATATTTTAACTGTTAAATCTTGTTTTCAGCTAAAATAAATATACATAACATATAAATGTATAGCCGAAAGCGTTCGGCTAAAAAGAACATTCGGACAATTTTTTTATAATTTATCATCTGAAAAGAAAAAAATAAATTATTAGATCGCATGAGAAATTGTATAAAAAACTAAATAAAAGCACCTTGTCTATCGTATTCAATGAAATGTGCATGAAAGAAAGATTGCTGCCTAAATACACATACACACGCACACACACACACACACACACACACATATATATATATATATATATATATATATATATGCGTGTTTTTTGTGTGTGCTTGTGTGATTTGAAATTGGAAAAATAAGAATGTAAGCAATAACTCCTTTACGATGATAGCGTGCGTCTTAAAAACAACTCTTTATCACAATATGATTCTTTACTATATCAGAAAATTAACAAAAGACACGGAAATAAAAGCGAATCTAATTGCCAACAATAATCGGCTTTTGAGATCAGTAGCAAAAGCAACCACATAGGCAAACATTTTTCTCCATTACGAATTAATAGTAAACGACACAGAATTCGATGGCTTATAAATAAAACCGATGCAATTAATTTAGTCCAATAACAAAACTATTATTAGTAGTAATTACTTACAAGGTACAAAAACTAGACTAATCGTCCATTTAATGGCCAGTTCTTTTTGGTTCAGTACTACTGTCTAAACCAGTTTCCTCTTTCAACTGTTAGTTATAGCAACGGTCCTGTTTAGTCATAATCCTAGTGTTAATATATGGTATATAATTTTCCAATAATTGTGGAAAAATTAACATTGATTTATTCATATTTTCCAACGAATATTTGCTAAATAAAACTGTTTTTAAGTTTTGTGTAAATGTATATTTTTTGTGAATGCATATTTTCACAGCAAACAATGATATTATTAGAACTATTCTTAGAAAAAGACGTGTCTGATACGGAGATAGCTCACAGATTTTAGTAAATGTCATTACCTACAGTTTAGTTAATAGACTTCAAAAAATTGGCATAAAGCTTCGAGTATCGGTGAGTCTTGCCGTTTCGCTTCCTTCTATAGGGAGAGGCTGTGTAGACAAATTGACATTTTTGATTTGACTGATTACGACCTTATTTACATTATTCGGACTATTGTCCGAATCATTGTCGCCATATTTCGGCCGTTGTACGCTCCGGCCTTCTTCAGGTGGTTAGAGGGAAAATTAACAGGAGAAAACTGATAACAGACATCCCTTAAAACCTGGCACGTGGAACTAGAACAGTCTACCCCAGTGAGCGAAATAAAGCTTTCAGTTCGACATTCCAGCCACCTGAAGATGGCCGGAGCGTACAACGGCCGAAATGTTGTAATAAATATGGCGACAAAGATGAGGAAAATAGTTCGAATAATGTAAATAATGTATATAATAGCTCGTCTCAGAAATATAGACAGATACTGATTACGACCTGCTGCAGAATTTTGCCATCATCTGTTTTTAGAGAACAGAGAGTTGATGTCGAATTTGCTCAAAGCAACAATTTTCTACTCTTATTTTGAATAATGTTTTTGTTTAGCGTCCCTCTGAATAAATAAATAAATTTTAAATAAATTTTAAATTTAATTTTTTTTAATTTTAAAATTTTAAAAATTTAAAAAAAATTTTTTTCAAGTTTTTTAAAATTTTTAATTTTTTTTAAATTTAAAATTTTTAATTTTTTTACATTTAAAATTTTGTTACGTTCTACGTATTTTATTTATTGAAGGTTGCCGTATAAGATCGTAATTTTTTGGCAAACCAGAGCCTGTATTTGTTAAAAGAAGTGACGTTGTTTTTTTAGTTTTTTTTGTTTTTTAAACAACAGCTCAGTCATTCGCGCTTAAAAGAATCCATGTTTAATTTGTTATTTTTTTGATTTACAGAAACCATGAATTTGCCGTTGCTTTTGCTGATGCCCGCCGTGTACATAATGAAAGAATGTACGTATCGTTTTAGTGACAAGAACCTAACAGAACGAATTAGATTTACTCGATATTTGTGATTAAAAAAAAGGTTTGACAATTGAGTTCGAAGAAAAGTCTACAGTATTTTGTTATTTCTCCAAAACCTTGTTCTATCATCCATTTGATCAAGTCCATCAAGTATGTTATGCGCTGTTTTCTCTGTCTCTCTTTCCCTCAATCTGCCCTGTGAGTATCAGATTTTCCAAGCCCTCCTTCCTTATTACGTATCACGGAACTTTAACTTACTTCTTCCTGATGTCAACTATAAGTTTTCTTTTTGTTTCCATTTTCTCCAAAACCTCATTGTTGCTCGCGTGTTTGGTCCATGGTATCCTCAGCATCCTTCTGTAGAACCACATTTCTGTTGCTTCAAGTCTGTTCTTTATCTTTGAGGAGATTATCCAACATTCACTGTCATACAGGAAGACAGATATCACGTAACATTTCAATATTCTTTTCTTTGTTTCTAACGAAAAATTTTTGTCTCTTAACCCTCTATATTGGCGACCACAATCTTAACAGTATAAGATATGCAGATGATACAGTGTTGATAGCAAACACGGAAAGGGAGACTCAAAAGCTCCTACAGAAATTAGCGAAGGAAAGCGAGAAGAACGGACAAAGTATAAACTACAAGACAGAAAGCATGGTCATCTGCAAAAGGGGTGAGCCCAAAGTGCAAATTACAAATCGGGGATACTAAAATCAAACAAGTGCAAAAATTTAAATATCTAGGTTTCCATTCTCCCCAAAACCTAATTGTTGTTCACATGTTTCTGTTGATTTAAGTCTCTTCATCACCTTTGAGAAGATTCATGGCGTTTATAAAACGTGTACTATGTTAGAGAATCGATGAAACAGATATAGCAAAAAAAAAAAAAAAATCCAACAATTCTTTGATAATGACTTATAAGAGTCAAATCGTTCATTTTATTGTGGATTTTTCACCGGAAAACAGAAGAAAAAAAAAACAAAAACAAAAACAAAAAAAAACAATCCTAAATAATAAACAATAAAAAATCATACAATCAGACTTTCTTTGAAGTACACTTATATAAATAAATAAATGCTGTCAAAACACACACACATACACATCAATAAGCGTACATCTTGTGATGATAAAAGCACATATTTTACGCGACAGTTATTTATTTTGCAACATAATCTCATTCTTTATTGACATTTTTTACGTATGGACTATTGTCCTCATCTTTGTTGCTGTTATCATAATGTTTCTGTCGTTTAGCACTGCGACCATCATCAAGTTGACTAACTGATTGATTCGTTTTCTGCGGCATATTAACACTTTGCTGGTTATTTAAAACCAGAAAATGTTTTTAGATTGTAAATTTTTTTTTGAGATAATAATAATAATAATAATAATAATAATAATAATAATAATAACTCTTTGCCAAAGACGACAATGAGTTGAAAGGCCTCCTCAATATTGTAAAATACTTCAATGACGATATATGTATGGACTTCGGATTAGATAAATGTGCAAAAGTAACTTTCAAGAAAGGTAGAATTACAGAAACACCCTTAATAGATTTAGATTTTGTCACAAAGATTAGGGAACTGGAGCATGGTGAAGCTTATAAGTACCTAGGAATTAGCGAAAAAGATGGCATACAACACCCCCAAATTAAGGAAAAAATAAGAAAAGAGTACTACAGGCGTGTACGTCTGGTACTAAATACTGAGCTAAACTCAAAAAACAGGGTATCAGCCATAAACACATTGGCCGTCTCTGTGGTGCAATACAGCTTTAATGTCCTTAACTGGACCATAGCTGAAATTAAGCGAATGGACGCCAAAACGAGAAAGCTTCTCACTTGCTATCGCATGCATCATCCCAAAGCTGATGTTGATCGTCTGTATGTGCCCAGATCCGAAGGAGGCAGAGGATTAGTTCAACTAGAACTGTCCTACAAAACTACAACAATTGGCCTCCAAAGATATTTGGAAACTACAGAAGACTGGATGATGGTATGCGTCAAGGAACATGAAAGTAGTAAGCGTCTCTATTCCGTAATGAAAGAAGCCAACAAATTCAAAATGGAGTTTCAAATGGGCGTAGAGATGCAACTACAGCACAATACACCGGCTGAAACTGCAAAATACCTAAAAAAGACAGCAAAGACGAATGCAACCGACCAGTTACAGAAGCGATGGCAAGATAAACCGCTTCATGGCCAATACTCTGCCCGTACCAAACAAGCTGACGTAGATAAAACCCGTACCCATCAGTGGCTACGTAGTGCAGGTTTGAAAGCGGAAACTGAAGGTTTTATCCTTGCTGCGCAGGACCAATGCTTGCTAACTAGGAATTATCAAGCACATATACTAAAATATTGTGTCAGCCCAAAATGCAGATTCTGTGATAAATATCCAGAAACGATTGATCATCTTGTAACAGGTTGCACCCACTGAATATAAAACCCGACATGACAGAGTGGGCCAATATCTGCACTGGAAAATCTGCAACTTCTACGGGAAGAAAACTGAAAGAAACTGGTATGAACACCACCCAGACCCGGTTACGGAGATAGGACCTGTTACAGTTCTATGGGACTACACAATACACACAGAACAATCAAGGTCAACCGGCCAGATATTGTTATTAAAGACCACAAACAAAAACGGTGCCTCCTTATTGATATGGCAGTCCCTGATGAATGCAATGTATCTTTGAAGATATTCAAAAAGTTGTCAAAGTACAAGGACCTTGAAATAGAAATCTCGAAAATGTGGCATATGGGAACATCAACAATCCCTGTTGTAGTTGGAGCCCTAGGACTGGTTGGAAAAGATTGCAGTAGACTAATTGAAGGGATTCCTGGAAATCCATGCCTCAAGGAGATACAAAAAATTGTTCTGACAAGTACAGCCCACACTTTACGAAGGGCTTTATCTATGTATTTTTTTTTTTGTCAGTGGAAAGTGTCATGATGCCATTTCTAACCTTAGGTTCCTGGGCGGGACCCGGAAAGAAAAGTGCAAACGCCAGAAATCAAAGAAAATAATAATGATAATAATAATAATAATTCAGAAATACAAATCCTACTAATTAACCCATAGCTACGAGAAGAAGTGGTGGATTCATATATTTCCCAAGGCTATTTGCACGTAAGTTAATATAACAATCCCAACTGGAATTTGAACTCGGTTCTCCGATTAACAATTCCGAGCTATTATCCATTACACCACCCGCACATCTAAATTTACAGTACGTGGCATTCCCAAGCGATCACCCATTTAGATACTAACCCGAGTCAACTTCGGTAAGTGTATTGGAACCGCTATTTCATCTCTATATGGTCGTAAGCCACCCTCATCAAGGTGTCAGTAGGGATCGACATATACGCCAAAGAACAAGACAATAAATTGGAGTTGATTTTATTCTTCTCGAGTAAACATAAAAATAAATATTTATGCATGAATCAAACTAGAATATTTAATTTTGTTGATTGCATTACTTTGTATATACGCTCTTTAGCGCTAGAGGGCGTCGTCAGTTATGTTCTGAATTGGGTCATTGGGCAGCTTCGGATCTTTCAAACATCATACTCCCCCTCACCAAGTCGTCCCCATCAGAGCTGATGCGCCCCCCTCTAAATTAACAGCCTGCAGGCTATGACTTATATTAGGCAAACCCTATCCCTCTGTCACGCATTTCATTTTCAACAGCCAATCGCAATTTAAGTTGTTTACGGGGGAATTTTTTTTACTTTTTCTTTTTTTATGTGGATACTTGTTGGATACTCGGAAGGTAATTATGTGTTTTCCATTTTTTTAAATTTTTTTTTTACTATTTTTTCAAGTTTCATCTCCTAACTGATAATTACTCTTAGTAAGGAAAAAAAAAAAAACCCCAAAACCCCCCAAAAAACAAAAAAACAATAAAAATAATAAATAAAAAAAGATGCAACCTTAAAATAATTAGAAATTTACCTTGTTTCTACGATTAAAATAAATTAAGACTTATGCAGCGTGTTAAAACGAAAATAAATATATAAATAGATGTCGTTTAAAACAAGTTGAACGAGTAAACTTAGAAAATTCGATTAAATCTGTCGATTAATGTTGTAAAATTAACGTGTGAGATTAACAAATAAAATTAAATTTACGATTTTGACCGTTACGCAAAAAAAAAAAGAAAAAAAAAGGCGGAAAGAGGATTGAACAATGTTACTAAGTAAATCGTTTAACAAGAATTAGTCACAAATAATTATAATTCACATATAGTCCCAGAGTTTGTGACAGAAAAAGGAAAAAGAGATAAAATGGAAGTCAAAAGATTTCTATTAAGCAATAAAGAACGAAAATGGATGGGTGAGGAGGAAACTATCGAAAAAAAATAAAAAATTAACCCCTTATGGACATTACGATGTTGTTCCTTTATTCTAGATGCTAAAATATCGAAATCCCAGTTAATATACAATATACCCCTACCAACATTTAAGCAACAAGTAAGAAAAAAGAAAAAAAATAATTATAAAAAATAAACTAATGATAATGACTAAAGATAAAATAGATTAGTATATTGGTCAGATTTGCAGTTATCTTACTGTTGTATTAGTTTCTGAGTTGCTATTATTTCATAAATTATTTTAACAAAAGTCCTAGCGTTTGTTTATTCGAAGCGAACAATTCCATCCTTCCTCAGGCTTACTTTGTATGCACTAACCTTGAATTAATCCTTTTTATAGATTGTTTTCAACCCAAAGACGCAGGGACGTGTCAGGAGTATACATCGAGATATTACTACAATTCTGAGACTGGTATCTGCGAGGAATTCAACTATGGCGGCTGTAAAGGCAACAAGAACAATTTCCTTACAGAGAAATCATGTCAACTAATCTGTATCGAGGGCTCCATCAATCGACCGGTTGAGTGTAAATTGCCCTTGGCGCTAGGTAATTGCCCTCTATCGTTGGTGAGATATTATTTCAACCTCACCAGTGAGAAATGCGAACAGTTTATCTACACAGGCTGTAATGGCAACTTGAACAATTTTTTCAGTTTGGAAAAATGCAAAAGGTTTGAATCTTATTTTTCGTATTATTTTTCTTTCATCTTCACTGAGCCAGGGGGGGAATGCTCACTGTTTCCTGTATAAATATGTAATATCTATCTATAAAAGGCAGGATGTGTGTGTGTGTGTGTGTGTGTGTGTGTAACGAATGCACGGCCGCAATTTTTGATGGATTTGCATCAAAATTTACATGCACATGCTCCAAGTTAATGAAAAGGCCAAGACCGACTTTGCATTTCCCAACTCCCATCGATAGTGGAAATAATCGATTTTTTCATGCATCTACGGCAGTTTTCATGTAGTTTGCGGCCATTTTCTACTGGCCAGAGTGAGAGCCTATAGCTGGCTGCCACAAATAGGCAGGAAGATTCTATTGGCCAGCGTGAGAGCCAACAGCTGACTGACACGAATGTTAACTAGCATGCAAAAAAAAAAAAAATCTATAGCTGCATTCGTCACAAGTGGGAAAAATTTAAATCTGCATGGCATTTTACCCCAATTGGCTCTTTCGCTTGCTTAAACTCAACGTTGATTCTGATTTCGCAGAACTGGGTTGGGTGTGGAAAAATATTTGTTGTTAACGTTGTTTTTTCATTCGGTTTTTCCAGTTACGAGTCCTTTTTTTAAAGCTGATTGTTTTGTGTTCATTTTGTTTAGTTCTTTTTCGTAACAGATTTAATGTTTAGTATAGAGCTTAGAAAAAATTGGCAGTGTGAGATAGGCAAGAAGTAAGGCATGTAGCAACATCAACATGGCAAAGGTCACTCCTTTAAAGGCAAGGAAGGGCAAAAATATTTTAAGTCAAGCGATTGCTGTATGAGTCGTACGATTTTTGAATCAAGCACGGGCAACGCCGGTCCATGCTGCTAGTGCTATTATAATATTTTTATTGTAATATTTTACATCACTACATAAAAATCTATGTTTCGGAGATTTAAAATTGTTCCTCATCAGGCGATGTTAGATAACTTATGATAAAAATGATTTACTTAGGGAATCAGAAAGCAATTCGGTATCTATTTGAGAGTTAAAAAGGAAGGGGAAAAAACAAGATTCCAAAATTTAAAAAAAAAAAAAATTGTGGGCATGTCTTGATTAGCCAATCAAAAGACGGATCAAATTTAAAATAGAAAAATGAAAATAAGTTCAGTAGGTAGAGGTGGCTGGTTTATTAATTCATGTCTAGATAAGTTGACATATTAGACACGTCCCTCAAAGACGACATCTTGTTAAGAATATAAAGTTAAGGTACTGAAAAATAGACACAGTTATATTTAACAAAAGGTAAATTTTAAGGAATTTTAAGATTTTAAAAAAATATTATACTTCCGAACTATCTTAAAGAGGCCTCTAGTGTAATTAAACCTGTTCTCTCTCTTTATTTCAATGTGTAATATGCTTGTTAACAAAATGACTTTACTCAAACGCTTCTGCAACATTGTATCTTCTTCTATGTAAACTGTCTCTTTAGGACGTAGGCGATCATGGCTGTTATTTATAGCCCTTTCCCGTGCCCCTCTTACATTCAACATGTCCAGTGAATATCAAATCTTTCTGATGTAAAGTAAGTGTCCTTTTTGTTTCCATTTTATCTGAAAATATTGCTCACATATTCAGTCCTTGATATTCTCAGCATTCTTCTGTTGATTGACATTTCTGTTGCTTCATGGCTCTTTTCCATCTGTGATGAGACTGTCCAACATTATCTTTTTATAACCTCTCCACAACGTGCCCGCAAATTTCCGTGTAACATTGCAAGTACTCTTACGTTTCCTTGTAACGTTACATTAAAAGATAAAGCACAATATATTTTATTTTGTTATTATTCTACCTAATAGAAGGCCCAAGATCCACTCAAGGTAGATGGTTGCTAAATGAAGTTATTGTAAAGGCCTGAAAACAGAGATTAAAAGGTGAATATTATGAGGATATGTAGGATAAATAACGGTTTACATTATCTTGATTTTTATAGAACAAGGATTCATATTCTCGGAGTCTTTTCTAAAATCCAGTAATTATCGAGACGAAGATGTCTCCACAGATTAAGATTTTAGTGATCGAGGAAGCATCTTCTTGAGAGTTGGTTCCACAAGACAGTCGTACGTGCGAAGAAGCTACATCTTAGCAAAATTTACATCTCACCAAAAGAAAGGACTTGTAGAGTCAAAAATAATCCGTCATCAACTAGGATGCGGAGACGCTTTTAGACTATATTGAGCGTGGGAAATGAAAACTGGATAATTCCTACCCATGTATGGCAGCTGTACTCTATTATTGGCCTGATCCGGCTCTTGTAAAGGTAGAGGATAGCAGAAGGAGTGAGGTAATTACTGGAGCCTTACAGGGAACCGAATATTTTTCCAGAATCTTTAGCTATGGATCCTGTATAGGATTTCCACTTCAGGTCTGGGCTAAATTTCAGTTTTAAGAGGCGCTCAAGGCACGGATCTCCCTGAGAGAACATCCGTTCATCGCAATTAGTAAGTTCTGGGTCCAATCAGCGATGGTTGAATGTCACTAGTTCGGTTTTTGAGTTTTTTCCCTTATAGTCAGCGAAGTTAAGCAATGTCAAGTCTGATCAGTACCTAAATGGGTTACCGCTTGGGGATAACAGGTTATGTAATCTTGGATGTGTGGTGGAGTAATGGATAATGGCTCGGAATTGTTAAACAGCGATCCTTATTCCAGTTCTAGTCGGGTTCGTTATATTCACTTACGCGCAAGTATCCTCGGATAAAGTATGAATCCGCCTCTTCTTCCTCCAGCTATGGGTTAATTATTAAGAGTTGTATCACTAAATCGTTATTATCATCTACCTCGACCATTCTTTTTTAAAATCTAAATTTTTTTCTGGCTTTAAATAACCTAGAAAAGTTTGATAAACCGTAGAAAATCAATCAATCAATGAAATACTGAGTAACTGCACAGGTATGCCTTTTAGATTTATCCTCTGGAATATAAATGTATAGTAACTATTATGGCCACAAAGTGAAGGATTAATTCATAAACTGATTGTAATATAGAATTGATCACCCACTTCATATCAATATTATAATTTTTTTCTTTATCAAATTTTGATTAGGTATGAATCCACCTCCTCTCCCCCTGCTATGAGTTAATTTTAAGACTAGTATCGCTAAATCATTATCATCACCAAAAAATTCTTACAATATAAAAATATTTTCTGGCTTTAAATAACCTACGAAGGTTGATAAGCCGTAGAAAATGAACCAATAAAACTGAAGTCTCTTAATATACCCAAATAGTTAAATTTCTGCACAAGCTTGATCTTTAAACTCCTTGAGTTTCCTCCTATTTTATTATTATTTCATCCCAAGCAAGGCAATAAAGCCACTAGGACGCAAGGGAGATCACTGAGTGTTAGAGAATATGTGAACAAGAAAACATTATTAATGAGAGAGAACAATAGCAGAACGGGATTTAAGGAGACAAAAAATAACGATTAACACTGCATTTAAATTTCTGAAGATCAAAATTGACTGGAAAGTAAGCAACCGGAAGAGAATTCCACAAGCGAGAAGTTCGTGAGAAGAAACTGTTAGCATAGAACTTACGGTTACATCTAACAATTTCAATTGTAAAATGAAGACAGCTACACAATCTGTTTACAGTTAATAATCATTTGTTCATATTTAGAGGCGCGCCCGTATATAGTCGTATTATCGGCATAGACGATGACAGGACGATATACTGTATATGATCGGAGTATATTTTTAGGTAGATCATTTATGTAAATCAGGAAGTGGGTTGGTCCGAGAATTGACCCCTGGGGTCGACTGCATTGAGCACCAGGGTCTCGAAGGACTGGCTGTTAATAACTACCTTCAGTTTATATAGAGAAGGGGTTTCTCTTTATGAATAATAATAACACTGGTTTGGTAAAAATCTCAGGTGAAAAAAGAATGCATCGATATATAATAAAGTTTTAGCAAACGAAGGAAAATGCGAAAGTTTCCTTCCAAAAGCTAAGCAAAGTAGAAAGAAGAAAATTTCGTTCAAATCAAACAAAAGTGCCTTGAACTCTTATGTAATATCAGTCCTCCTATATGACAGAGATGTTAGATAATCTTATCACTGATGGAAAAGACGTGAAACAACAGAAATATGCTTCTACAGAAGGATGCTGAGAATACCATGGACTGAACGAGTGAGCAAGGAAAATGACCACGAAAAGGACAGTTATACATAGAATCAGAAAAGAGACAGATTCTGGGATATATAATAAAGAAAGAAGGCTTAGAAAAATTAACACTCACAGGACAGATTGAAGACAAGAATAGAGGAAAACTGCGGACCATCTAAACAACGCCTTTGTGTAAATTGTTGGCAAACAGGGATTAGGGGAAATCGCAAAAATCAAACTTTACTCAGAGCTACGATAAAAAGAAATTGTGGAGAGCTACGATCATCGACACCCTTAAGGGACATGGCACATCTAAGAAGATTTTCCTATTCACGAACGAAGTAAATGCTTATTGAATTAAATATGATAATAAAAATAGACAGATTTAAACTATTTACATTGTTGTCCTCATTTTTATTATCATATTCACGATGTTTCGGCCGTTGTATGCTCGGACCCTCTTCAGGTGATATACGTTGGAATTTCGAAAGGAACCCTTCATTTCGTCAACCGGGGTAGATTGTTTTAGTTCCATGTGCCCCGCCTTTTCTGTGTATATCAGTTTCAGTTATTTCCCTGTAGTTACTCCAAATTATTGTTCACCTCTGCTGTAGTCAGGTATTGAACTTACAACTCTTTGGGTGAAGTCACTGAATTCCTTCAACCAGAGCTTTTATCCACTGGGACGTGCTCGAAATTTTAACGTATATCACCTGAAGAAAACCGGAGAATAAGGCGGCCGAAACCTCGTGAATAAGACAGTAAAGGTGGGGAGAACACACGAATCAATGTGAATAGTGTAAATAGTTACGAGACCTCGTCTCAGAAATATAGACAGATCCTGAAGAAGGATGGAGCATA